ACTCGGAACAAACAATTAAACGTGAAAGATGAACTAATTTAGAGGAGAATGCAGAGACGGAGAAATCTTAACTTTTTCATGTCGCATGGAAAATTAAGCGAGTTACATGGCATTAAATGTGAACAACGCAAAATAGCAACTGAAATAAATAAAATGTTCAAAACAATCTGTTCAATTTCGATTTAACTTGCAATGAATTAAAAAATGGATTATAGTGCAATTTGGATTTTTTTATTTACCTATAATTGACGCAATCATAGTAATATTAATTTAATTTGCGTGAAATCAATGCAATAGTACACTGTAATTTGAATTTCACTAGTTTTCGATTAAACTGCCTACCGATCGAATTAGCTTCATATATATTAAACTTCAAAAGAAAGGTATAAAACAGGCTGACGATTCACTGCTAAAAACTTAATACAAAATTCTACACATTTTTATGAGGGCTTGGCTACGTACTCATCAGATAACCACATTTTGACAAAACTCATCATTGATTTTTGCTGCGATTGATGCAAGTAATTTTTAGGACATTAAATGCCGTGAAGGTCACGAGCGCTTTTCAGTATAATCTTCCGTCAATTTAAGCGCACCTATTCCCTATTTTTCTGTATTTATACAGAGTTTCATATACATATAATACCTGGAGGCCCAAGGCTACGAGTCTCAAGGCCACGAGCGATGAACCCTCCACGAGCAGAAGCGATCGTCAGGAAGTCGCCCATTTAATTGCCAGCTTCCATGCAAGCGTAACCACTTCTTGAACATTTCCGAGCCAAGCTCAACTTTTGCAGTTTATTTCTTATTATAATTAATTGTCCAGCATAATTTCGTGCATAATTGCCACTTAATTGTCGCAGAAATCTCAATAATGTCGAAGACTTGACCGAGATAGAATCACCAATGAATTAAATAGAATAATTGTAGTAATAAGTCCATGATGCACGATTAGTATCATAGCGCGCTGTATATGATCAAAATATGTGCTCTGTAGACAGCGCTATACTTTAACAAAATATATTTGGCGCAATACGAAGACCAGTTCTTCTTTCATGCGGAGTTGAAACAAACAATCTTATGTTTTAAATATATTTTGCACCACGACCAAATCACTTAACGAATGTGTAACGTCGCGTTCGATTCAAATTGTAGCGTCACATTAGTTGCGGTGATTTTACACGTATAACATTGTTTGTAACGTACATTGATATTTCATACGTTACCGACGGCTAAATATGAAGCGTGATATAAATTGAAGGCAATGTTACATTCAACGAAGCAAGCTACGTCGCATCCACCGAAAGTGACGTCAAAACGTCACATTTATACGTGAGAGAGGAAGAGAATAACGTCACATTTATACGTGAGAGAGGAAGAGAATAACGTCACATTTATACGTGGTAGACGAAGAGAATAACGTCACATTTATACGTGGGAGACGAAGAGAATAACGTCACATTTATATGTGGGTGATGAAGAGAATAACGTCACATTTATACGTGGGAGACGAAGAGAATAACGTCACATTTATACGTGGGAGACGAAAAGAATAACATCACATTTATACGTGGGAGACGAAGAGAATAACATCACATTTAAATGTGGGAGACGCGCGCCGCGGAGGCGTTCGTGGGCGGGTGAACGCTCCAATGAAAATTCGTGCGTGCCGAGAAAAAAATGTTGTATCATAACATTTTCTGGGGCGCCGGTCAGAGTACTCAGAGTTTCAGAGTATAAAATCCACGTAGTTTCTCAGAGTGCACTGATATAGTCACACTACGATATAACATGTAAATACTCATTTTATTAGAGTGAACTATTCTGCTGAATTTCACAATCAGCGTGTGTATCCATGTATAAATTTAAAATTTATCATAACTTATTAACAATTTATTTGAAATAGTTATAGCAAGATTCGAATTTTTTAATTGAGTCCTTACGGTTCTCGTTAATTTTGTCAGTTAGTCAAAATCTTAACTTTAACAGCATGCTGCATTTTTCAAATAAATGTTTTCGATTAACGGCCCTGATTTGCAAGAACATAAGTTACGAAGCTACACCATTACAGCGATTAATGCTTCAGGTTTTCAACCAATACAACTCCTTACATGTCATAAAGCAATTATATTAGTAAAACGTAATAATAATTGCAAATCTAAGCCGAGATAATAGATTTCATTCAGCATTAACGAATAATTATTTTATTAATATTCATGACGACACAGCACTCGGTCCCCGACAGAGGTCCGATTGCTGTGAGCGCGGGCGGAGCGCGTAGGAGTGTCGCCCCCTTCATGCCCCTGTATGGATCTTGCATCGCCGGGATTGATCCATTTACCTTAATTTTTTATCTTTATTCTGTAGCGACACACACGTTGGTAGCCAAAAATAAAACCATGAACATCAAAGGCCCTTAAAACGAATTTCCATGAATCAAGTAAAGGCGAAGTGGCTTGAAAACATTGTTGTAAAATGAAGAATATTTACATGTGTACGAAGGGTGTATATGCATATGAGCAATGTAGGATCTGCCGGCGACTGAAGTACAGACCAAACTGTAAGCTGGATCAGGATTGCATGCTAAAAATTAAATTCTAGAAAACTTCTTTAAGTTTCATTCCAAAGTCTGCTATTTGCAGACTACTTTAAAATGAACGAACGATGATGAAAATAATTAGCTAACAGGCTCATGAAGTTTTTATAATTAAAAAAAATCTGCGGCTAGATGGTAATGCGCACGTATTATTCTATTCAATTTTAAATTAACCAATGAGCTCCATTTTTGTAGGTTACTAAAGTGAGTAATGCCTTGATATATTATTGTTATTAAAGTGTTACCTTATCAGTGCAGTGTACTCTGGTGAGTGCAGTGTACTCTGGTCAGTGCAGTGTACTCTGGCCAGTGCAGTGTACTCTGGCCAGTGCAGTGTACTCTGGTCAGTGCAGTGTACTCTGGCCAGTGCAGTGTACTCTGGTCAGTGCAGTGTACTCTGGTCAGTGCAGTGTACTCTGGCCAGTGCAGTGTACTACAGTGTAGACGATTTTAAATTTTAAAAGAAGCGGGATCCGACTACGTGAATTTTAATTGCTGTGAAGCGCGAGAATTTTTTAGCATTTTTTGTGACAATTTTTACCGCTAACACATTTTCCAAAACATCAAAAACTATTGTCCAAATAATAAGAAAAAATATATTGAAAACCCCGAGATACAAATTCTTCAACATCACAGGTAAGACAAAAATGTTCATATTCCAATAATAAGATGATGCCAAAAAACTTCACTAATTTAAATTAGACACAAAAAGTTAATTCTCCCCAGCGTTGTTGATGCCTGCATCTGCGCACGGTCTTTTCTTTGCTTGTCTTGCCAAGTTAATTAGTTAAGGGACGGCTGCTGCTTCACGACTTACACACACACAGCAGCTGGGCTTGGCTCCGTGGCCAACTTTGCTCCACAATTGCTGCTTCTGACCGACTTTCCCGATCATGAACGGGACCAATCAAATGGGAATGATGGCCCGATGTCGGGTTTGAGGGGACCAATCAAATGGGAATGATGGCCCGGTGTCGGGTAGAGGTAACTATTCAAAAAGGAATGATGGACCGATGTCGGGTTTGAGGGTACCAATCAAATGGGAATGATGGACCGATGTCGGTTTGAGGGGAATAATTATATGGGAATGAGGGCCCGATGTCGGGTAGAGGTAACCATTCAAAAAGGAATGATGGCCCGATGTCGGTTTGAGGTGACCAATTAAATGAAAACAGCGTCTCGATGTTGGGTTCGAGGTGACCAATTAAACGAAAACAACGTGCCGATTCAGGGTTTGAGGTGAAATTTCAAATTTAATCGACTGTTCAATAACAGAAGTTTGTGTTAAATGGTACTGATTATGCAATAGAAGACCTAGAGTGCTTCATGAGTTAATTGCTGCAATTTCGGATCAAAACTCCAACACAGTGTATAATCTTGATTTTTTGTAGCGATGAATAAATTCTTTTGCGTCAATGAATCAATAGTTAACAACATTTCAAAAATTTTCATTCATATTAACTTTTGAAGTTTAAAAAGACATTTTTCCATTAGAAGGAAATCCCAAGTTTAGCTATCGAATTTGAATAAAAGTTCAGGTAGAAACTATATTTAATTCCAGGACTTATAATTTAATGTTAAGTGTTTCAGTGATCTTGCATATCCTCAATCGAAGTGATATAAATATCATTAAATAGTATGAGCGGCGTGGCGAAATTGCGATCAGCAATTTGTATAAGCTTGAAAATGTTTTTTTTTTATATCATCTTTTAAATTAGTCCACTTTAACAAGCCCTTAAGCTTAATTATCACCTAAAACCCCATCTTGCATTTCTATGGATATTCCTTAAGCAGAGAAAATAATTATCGTAATAATACGCAACGGATAATTATCCAAATTATATCAAGCTATCCACACCCTAGCGCGCCTCGTGACAGAGCAGCATGGGATACTTTTGGTCCCCTGATCCTTCTGTTCATGAAATCAAGAAAGAGTTGTGCTGGCGGACGCAATTGCAGGTCATAAATGAATGGAGTTCCTTGTGGGAGTGGCGCTCAAAATTGCAAGGCGTCTCCACGCCTTGCCTTTCGGAAATATTTCAGAAAAATTATCTTTGCAATTATTTTCATGGTGCTCAGGGCCAGGAGCATTACTACTGAAGGCTGAACACTCCCGATACGCAGCATTACTCAAATAAAGACATGGTATCCACTGCACCGATTTTAGAGATTCCAGTAATAAAATTAGAGGTAATTAGTTGAAATTTTTTGCTATAATATTCATAAATGTACAAAAACTATCTACAAGTTATGTGCGCAACGCACCATCGTCAGGCATCACTGCGCATTACGACCAAATTCGACCTAGACGATCCGTGCCCTCGGACACAACGCACCTGTTCGCAGAATATTTTCTAGGATGAACAACCTTGCCCAGATTTAGGTAAGTCAAGTCTTAAAATACCTGCTTGACGGGATGAGCAGAACTTGGGCAGAGCCAGACGGAAGTTCCACTTAAGAACTCGAATGATTGCCAATCTACAAACGAGGAGGGACAGCTTAACTATCTGAAGCACTACTACACCGTTCACGCAAGGAGATGCAGAGCAGCATCTACCACACACATCCACACTGACTGACGGTTGGACTTTCACTGTCGCTGAAGCTGAAGTCACTCACACCCGTACTCCTGTAGTCACCAACCGCAAGATGTTGCTCCGGCATGTCTCGCGTTCAATTTTGGGTATGAAAACTTCGTGGGTAGACTACTCGTTTGATTGTTTGCAACGCGCTTAAATTTTTATCACATTACTGTCTTCCGTTCTGCTTCATTCCCTAAGTCCTTCACACCTTCTTCGTATTTATGATTCAGGGAATGCATTTAATTGATTCAGGGAATGCAATGTTGCCCGTTGACATTGACTTCGTTGAAGTGCGTGGGCTGCACTTGTAACACGTGGGCAGAACACCTGACAAGGAGTGAGATGGTATGCATGGATGGTTCGCTTGGTACGCATAGATGGTAAATGGGGCTTTTTCTACGCCGTAAATTCATTCCACTTGTCCTATTACATTTTTCGCTTACATAATAATTAACAACAATTTTACTAATATTTTTAAAGAAACAACCAATTTAAATGTTTCAAGTCACAGATCCAAAAAATGTATTTGTATTTTTTTTATTCATCTCAACAGAATCGTCGACGAAACTTGAAGAAAAAAATGTTTTCAAGTATAGAAAATTTCCCTGCAATTTTTTTTTATTTTGCTAAATATATAGGTACGTAACTAGTTCGTTCACTATTTTTTCGCAAAGTTAAATCAAAACCAACGAATTTAACAAAGCATGGCATAATTTTAATTATAGAGAAGCGTCATTCCCTCAATCGGCGCAGCATTATTGCAAGAGTACGAGGATATATATATATGATGCAGGGCAATAATTGGGAAATCGTAAATTACATACACAAATCTTCATCAAAGTTTCTAAATTATCCTGGCTATCTAACTTTATTGAGCAAAACACGATCAGTGTAAAAGTTACGTTCATCCTGAAATTTATGATAATTGTTTCTTATTGGTAGTTTTATTATCGTCAGTGTTACGCTTATCATTGAAGATAATCGGAAATTTTATATCGTCATACTAATTACGAGAAGAAGTTCTGTTACGTTCACCATGGAAGTTACTATCAATGTAAAAATCACGTGCATCACACATGTTACGTTCATCATAAAAGTTAAGATTAATGTAAAAATTACGCGCATCACACAAGATAAGTTAATCATTGGAAGTTACGATCAATGTAAAAATCACGTGCATCACACATGTTACGTTCATCATAGAAGATAAAATCNTTAAGATCAATATAAAAATTACGAGCACCACACATGTTACGTTTGTAAAAATTAACATGTAGAAAGTAAAACTATGACAGAAATCATCACAGTAACTTATTATAAGAATTTTCCTTAAGATTTTCTTCAATAATTGAGAAGCTGTTTGTCTAAAAAAAATTGTATCAAAATTAGCTATTCTTGTGGAGTTAGCCCTCTCGGTTTGGTTATAAGAGAAAGTATTGAAGGGGATACTTCTTTATGAAAGAAACAACTATTATTGCGACCTATATTCATAATTCATCTAATGTCTAGAGTTGCTTGTTTTTGAAATACATTGCACCGTAGGTTCGTTGAGAGGCCTCACTGCGGTATTTGGTCTGAAAATAAGATTCTATTACAAATTTGTAGAAATTTTCATGCAATCCACCTAAAAATTATCAAAATTCATATAGAAAACTTATATTCATATAATGACAAGGAGTTTTACATATTTCAGATCTCGTAAACTATGAATAAAAACGTATAAATATTAAAAGCTTCCTTATAAATAATGGCTCAAATCCACTGAAGTTTTAATTCACAAAGAAGTATCATTCACCTGTACGCTATATATGATCGATTTTAGGCTGCGATATGTTGATAGTCATGAGGCGATAGGATATATCGTATCAACAAGTTACTCTCGATAAAGCATCCACTGTCTTACTAACTTTGATATAATGACATAATGATTTACATATTAGTTTTGCATATACTAAAGAAATTCACTCACATCCTCGCATGCCTGTTTGGACTCCTTACTGACGCCCGAGCAGTTCTTGCCGTGGTGCAGGTGCTCCAAGGAGGGCTCCAAAGACCTACAGTGAGATAATTCAAAATTCCAATTTCGAAATTATCAAAGAGATAACTTTCAAAATGTAAAACTCATCCAATTTAAAATGAAAGTTTCCCAAAAAAATAGTGCTAGGTGTTGACCAAAAAAATATTATCGAAGCCAGGACCTTTGGAATCATTATAGGAACATCGATACGTTACTCATAAAAGTTCAAATAGAGAATAAATTATCCCGCTGTGTAAACCTCTGTTAGCAAACGATTACCAAAAGCACGAAAGCCTGTAAGTATTTCCAAATAAAGTATTTAAAAAATTATCAAAGACACATGATATTGAGGACCGCACCGTACAATTTTGTATCGCTTGGTAGCGACAAACTTGTCGAGTAGCTGTATGTCCTCCCCACCCCAGCTGTGTCTCTCGAGGCCGTCGAAGCCTCCCACCTTCAGCAGGTCAGATCGATACGCGCACACGTTACCTATGGAACAAAGTTGGGTGAAAATCTAGTGTTTTTTGTAGGTTTCTCTTTCAAGAGTTGTTAGAACAACGATTTTTTGATAAAAAATGATGAGAACAACGACTTTTGTACAACAAATAGTCAGAAAAACGATTTTTGTTCAATAATGAAACCAACGACTTTTGATCAACAAATGGTTAGCACAAAAAAATTTATTCAACAAATAATTAATCCAACGACTTTTGCTCAACAAATGGCTAGGAGGAGCGGATTCGGTATATGTGAAGTTAAAACAATGATTACAAACAAATAATAATATTAAATTGGAAACAAGTTACTGAGATGAAGTCGCTAAGAAAGTTCACTGATACTAAAACATTGGAATACCTCTGAAAATTAATTAAAAATTAGTTACGGAAGGAAGTATACGAATGACGCTTACTTACCGTAACGTTGAACCGCTGATATTTGACCTCCGCGATGGAATTAATGAAATATAGTGATTAGATCGGTCGCTTGAGAAGATTTAACGTGTTAAATTTTGTTTAAATTCTTGCTAGTCAAGGTTCTGAATCTGATCCTTCGGCTACATATTTGATTAAAGACTTTATATATTGCATGAAAATTTTGAAGCAGATGATAATTTACAACAATTGATAAAATTTTCTTCCCCGGCATAAATTTTCCGTGAATGTTGCTGAAGTATGTTTTATCAGCTTTTATTAATAAATATTAAATTAATTTGTAAATAAAGTACAGTCTGGTAGAATATTACTGTCGTTACATTTTTTACAATTTGTGAATCTCTTCAATTATTGCTGCCTTCTGCCTAAGTTTGTTCGCAAACAATATAAGGACAGAGGAATTTGTGGAACAGCTTTAATCAGCAAAATATTAATCACCTTTAATCAGCAAACACCTTTAATCACCTTTAATCACCTTTAACATCACCTTTAATCACCTTTATCACCTTTAACATCACCTTTAACATCACCCTTTTAATCACCTTTAATCACCTTTAACACCTTTACTACAATACGACTCGACCTCAAACACCTTTAATCACCTTTAATCAGCAAACAGCTTACAAAAGCTCACCGTGTCCGAAAATTCTCCAGTAACCAACTTCTTGGTGAATTTCATATTTGATATTTTTCGGGTCCAGTTTTGAGCCTTGCGATCTTAAGTAGTCTGGAGGCTCCAGCAAACTCTGGTTGTACCGCGAAAACACGATCGGGAAGAACACCTGAAACAATTTCAATCAGAATTTAGTTAGATGCAATCTGCATGTTCTATAAGCGTTGAGAAAAAATCGTGTAAAAAATTTCTGTACACGATGATAATGCTATGATTTCGCCCTTCAGCTTGGTTGTGGGACTGTCAAATATATTGATCATAATATTAATTAATATCATTAATTAATTGATCATATGCATAACAGTACCAATAACTTATTTATCCCTTTTTGTCAGTATGATAATAGTTGATATCTATTCGGTTACCTGTCTCCCTTTAACGGCAGACGATCGACATCGGTCCATGAACGCATCAGAAAAGGACATGTCGACGTCCGTTAAAAACATCAATGCTTCGTCGGCTTCGTTTTTTGCAAGTTTTACGGCCCAGTTCAGTCCTTCGCCTCTTGAAAACGAAGATTCAGAGCCTTTTATCGTAAATTTTTTAATACCGCGGGCTCGCGTGACGTCAACGCTGACGTTCAGAAATGTCGTATCCGTCGGAAGCCCATCGTTTACGATAAAAATTTCGCCTTCCAGCTTTGTTGTGGGACTGTCAAATATAAAGTTTCTTGACAGCTTCTCAACTTTATTTCCTTGGATAGTGATGAGCTCTAAAATTAGATGCGGCGTCTCCAGCTGGGCTTTCTGCAGTATATCACGGAGTTTCAAAATTTCTAGTTCTTCGCCCACGTAAAGAACTGTGGTGAGTGTTATATTTTCATCACGATTAGCCATCAACCTCTGTAGACGTTGCAAAAAACTCTGAAATTGTGATAAATGGCGGTTTAATGAAACAATTATCGCTCATAAATTTCAATACTATGATGTATCGGAAATATTCATCTTTTTCGAAAATCATTAATCTACTAATGTTACAATTAATTGTCTTATTGTCAATGATATTATGTTCTCATACATCGCAAGAGCAAGTAAAATTGTCAACAAATAATTCAGTCATAAATTTATACTTGGTAAATACTAGCTACACGACGCCGATTAAAATATTTCGTAGCGAAGATTCGATCAGTATTGATGCGTCTGTGGTTGGTGTTCCAAGCGATGATCATTGGTATTATATGGAATTTAGACACCGCAACTCACCGCGAATTTATCCAATCTGTTCTCAATTGTAAGGGCGATAACGATGGGTGTTTGGTCTACCACGTCCTGAACGTCGTCTCCTCTTTGCGTCGGTCCCAGTTTTTCTTGCAAGACAACGTCGCGCACGCGACCTTGTTGGTCCTTGCAAGTCACCAGCGACTCGACTCCTACTCCAAGCTGAAGACGATACCTGAAAATATTTATGATATTAATCACGGAGTGTATGGATTATGATTATACAGTTATGTGGTTTGTAATCATAGCCCCACAGGCCTTGCAGAATAGCACCTTAGCAGCCAAGGACTAAAATTGAGACTGCGAATGAATTCAATTTTTTAGCACACACTATTTGTGAAACATTTCAAAATAAAGTGGAAACAAGTTTAAACGAAATCATCATATTGCATGAAGCATTTATAGGTATTCACTGGATCTCAGTGTACACAAGTTACGGGGCTGCCATTTTCCATACTAACCTTATACTGAGGCATGAAAATGTGAGGGAAATATCCTCCGCTTTCAATGCAGATTCAGCTTGGGCTTGAATCTGTAAGTAAAAAATACAGGTGAAGGTTATTTTTGAATAATCCAACAATTTTCGAAATCCAGCCAATTTCATTGTTCAATTGATTATCTTAATGTGAAATTAAACTGAAATTCAAGCAAAGTTGATAAACGAAAAAATACGGGAATAAAAACAAACGAATTGCGATTTCGATTCCTATAGCGTTCATTGCGTACACTGTCACTATTTATCCACTTGAGCTAGAAAAATAATGTTGATTACTCTTTGTCATTTTTCTTTTAAAGTAACGTTTTACAGCCCCAATCCCCATTACCAATGTGACCAAGTATAATAAAATTATAGACGTACGTTACATAATCAATCGTCAGTTATGGAAAGATCGGGTTCAAAAGGCCAGATCCCTTGTGGAATCAAGTCATGAAAAGTGCAAGAAACGGCAATAGGTCGTGGGCCTATTCCTTCAGTGCTGACACTTTTATTCTATTCTATATTATAAATATTTCAAGGGGACCTGTAGGTCTTGCCGACTTACGGTGCGGAACCATTTGACTTCATCATTAGTGGGCCTGCGCACGGTATCTCCCCTTGGATGAGGGGTTGTTGTGTACAGCAATTTCTTCTTTATGTCGTAAAGGATGAAATACGTCGCCTCCATCCTTCATTACACAATAAAAAAATCTGCTTTACTGCAATTTGATGGTTCTTGTAAAATACTACAAATTATTGAGAGCATCTTTAGGTAGGCATATGCACGTACGTTGAATGCATCAATCTCATTGGGAATCTGCGACTCCAAAAATCGATTTCAAATTGTGTTATAGTTATTAATTTTACACAATAGAGTCCTAAAAACATTCATGAAGTAAGGATATTATGGTTGGATGATAGAATTTTTCAGCCAGTAAGTGGAATGGGAATTGTATTCTTAATTCATCTTACATTGATTGTTGTGGTACAGAAAAATTTTTTGCTACTGGAAAAGCAACGGTTGGGTTTCGCTGTTCCTCATTTTCTTTAGGATATTCATAGACTTTTTCCATTGCTTTGGGATTTTCCTCAGCTTTCTCCTGCACCTCCCCACTCGCCAAATAGAAGCTGGGAGCGGAGGTGTCAATATTCCTTACGAGCGGGGATTTCAAGCCGACATGTCTCAACTCAGCAGCGTAAAACCCTGCCCAATGTTATAGAGTTGAATTATTTGTTAGATTTAGTGGCAGGATAGCCCAGTGGTTACAGTTCAGAGTATCAAAATTTGAGTGATGATTTGCGTGTTCGAGACCACAATAATTAAGCTGTACATATTCTGCGATGTTAAGAATCGACGACAAGTCGAACGGCCTCACTCTACAGCAACAATTTTCGAAGGTGCACATGTTGGCACAAGGTGGCATAACAATATGGCATAACACATGTTAAAATTCCATATGGCAGGCTCATGGTTTTTGGAAAATTCTGCCCAGCTAGGCCATGTAGAAATCACACGATTTCTAAAAAGGGTTAACCTAGCTCACGCAAGGTAAAAAAATTTAACTCAGTACTTACTGCAGTGAGTGACAGAGAGCGCATTTTCTCGTCGACGAAAACTTGAAGTCACGGACAGACGGACGGAGAGACGGACAGACAGACAGACGGACGGACATGGCGAGCACAGTAGTGCATTTTTTTCCATAAATGAGAAAATGCGCTAAAAATGTGCCTGCCACATTGTTGTTGTTGTTGCGACAACATGTTTGTCTTACATTGGCCCAACATGGTTCTATTAGTGAGCCTGTATTTCAACCATACGTCAAAATCATCTTCGTTTTGGTTTGCCTCCACATTGCAGATGCATGCTAGGCCCAGCAGGTTTCTATCGGAGGCCCACGCGTCAAGAACATGGGTAAACCATGTACATCCTATATACCTGTATTATACACGCGGCCTTTCATCCTGGGCTCAGCCGTTTCCAGCACGGGCCAAACATTAAAGAACGGTTCAAAGTCACTATCGCGTAGATCAGGAGATCTATAATAGTCTGGAACCTCGTAAGCTTTGAGCTCATACATGGAATCAGTCGTACTCTAAATTTCACAGTTAAGATTTAAATTCACAACGAAGAGCCGCCATTAGTTCAGACCCAGGGACCAACACAATCTACATATTAGTTAGAATAAATGATCAAATTTTTAATTTACTTGTGGCCTTCTGATCTTGTATCATACTCAACAGGCTCACGATGTCGTCTTTATAATGAAGCAACAGCGAGTTACTGTGAAAAGCACCTGTCGGAATTTTGACACATGAATGATAACATCACGAGACAGTGGTAAATGACTGCTTAACTTATTTACCAATATTTCAACTTATAATCAATATTCTATTTTCTATACCATACTAGACTATACTACTAAAGCCAAGTATTCAACTGTATCCTTATATTTTTGATAGGGTAATTTTTGCATTCAAGCAACACATAAAAATTCTGTAGTAAACGCTTTCAAATATTAGGTTTTCGATAAAGAGATGAAGTTGGCGTTGGTATTAGTATTGTATTTTGACCCGATTAATTACTTCAATAGAATCATGTGGGGCAAAATTTTCAGTAAAAAATGAAAAATTCAACCAGCAACCTCTTGCAGGTTGAAATTGAAATTATATAAATATGACAATTATAAAAAAAAATAACTTTCGCATTAAATACAGAATCCTATGCCTATAAATGATCTACAAAGTTAACGTTAATTTTGTAAACTGAACCTTGGGCGAAGAAAAATGAATAACACTTTATGAAATAATCATATGTGTTGCTCTTTGGAAATTCTATGCAATTTTTATTCAAAACATCCGTGTATAAATTTTAATGATATAATGATAAATTTTACTTTTTTTTAAATTTTAAATATAAATGTTCGGAGCATACTTACCAACCAAGAATGTTAAGACTGGCACGGCTGTTCTGAACCACAGTCGCACTTTCCAGTGCATTGCATGTGAGCGGAGTAGCCACATTACTTAATGCTGGTACGAGTTACTATCGAAAATAATTCCTGAATTAACGTCATTGAACACTATTGAGAAAAATTATATATATCATAATTTAAAGACTTTAAGTTAACGCATCTATGGGTATGTGGAAGTACAATAGTAAATACTGTGTTTAGTTAACCTGAAGGAAATAACCGGCTCAAGCATCCTTAGACATCAAGCACCAGAAGCTAATCGATAAGATAACGAATTAAGATAATCCTTTTAATAATAAAATTACTGATGTTGTTGGATAGGGTCAATAAATGACTTGAGAATGTCGGACAAATCGTCACGTTATGGAGGAGGGATGCCATTATAATGGCAGGTTGTTTTCGATAACAAATCTAGGAATAAAAAACGTTTCCAAGGTCCTCAAAAAATTTTCTTATAATGCAGTTACTTGTAATCGATCAGGAGATTATTAGTAATAAATGTGATAATAGACTTGATTTTGTCAAGTTTCCATAGATCAGGAAATGCACGCTTCGTATAATTAGCTTTCCGCATAGCGTTTTCGGGGTAAAGTATCGTCAGATATTTAGTAATGCTACCTCAGTTAAAATTATTGAAGGAAACAAAATGGACTCGGTTCACGGTGAATTTTACTACAAAGACCTGCAAGAGCTTTTCAGAGAAGACATTAGTGAGCAACTAGAGGAGGTAGGCTATCCCGTATAGGCTACGCATGGTTCGTGTTTCGTTGGTACTGGATCTAAAAAACATTCAATATTTTCATTAATTTAAAATTACGCTAATAATTTCCAAATAATATCGATGATGTTCCGAGGGGAACTTCATCAATAATTACAATGAATAAAGGACAAATTGCCATTAGTCAAGAGTATCCACTCCAGCCATATACTTACAGATAGTTCGCACACACCCATATATGAACGAACACGCATAAGGAATGCGATTATTATAAGAGGGAATGAAGTATAATAATAATAATAATAATAATAATAATAATAATAATAATAATAATAATAATAACAATAACAATAATAATACAATAATTATATTCATTGCAAACCAATGCTAGTCAATAACCATTTTTAGTCTTGCTAGTTTTTGAGCCGAAGAAATGAACATCCTGGATAAACAAATTTTTGCAAACGCAATTTTTCAATTTACAAATATTACAAGTCGGACTACATAATTTGTTTATTTAATCTAATAAAACGTTTAGTTTTCTTAAATTTTCTATTTACGAGGAACTGCAAAATCTGATGCCACAGGCGTCACTAACACCTGCAATGATAATTAATGAGGAGGCTAATTAGACATGCATGATAATTAATGAGGAGGCTAATTAGACATGTACACCTGTGCAGGCCTCATCACTGACACTTGTTGCCACACAAAAAAACTTTTCAGCAACTTTTTTTTTTAGCAACTGAATCATAAAAAATTCACGTAGTAAAAAGTGGTAAGGACTTGATGAAAATACGTGAAACTTCAAAGAGCAGAACTTCGGATTGTATATCATTTTGAACTGTTTAGAGCTACCTACATCAGAAGTGAAAATTTGATCAAGTACATATATAGTCCTAATGTGTAATCAGTAGGCAATAAAGCCTAAGGAGAAGAAATTTAAACGAAATTGTCCAATACTGATCGTACAACACAAATGTTTTATAGACAAACGCAACTGTTGGCCGGGACCAGCTCTAAACGTTCACATATTAAGCATATTAGCCATAATATTAACACGCGCGAACACTACACAGACCTTGGCTATTATATTTTTATATTTTTAATATAGTCCCTCCTTTTCATCAAAATATCAATATCAAAATAAATGATAGACCAATGGACGAATATTTATATTATTATAAAAATCTAAAAACGCAAGAACAAACACAAAAACCAAAGCGATATTTTGTCCTGTCAATTTTAAAGTTTGTTCACAATCACATTCCGGTGAGCGAACGTCACTGTAGAACTCAGACACTTCCTCACCCAATATTGCCACTAGGCAATTCAACAACCAAGAACGATTAAAAAACGTACAGTTTACACTTGAGGGACCAGGGTATCTACCCAGGGAGCACTTCACCCTATAGGGACTATGTTACCTACCTGAAGGCCCAGTATACTCGCTACCCACTTCTCACATGAATTATCTACTATATTCTTATATTCAGGCATGAATAATGTTACGTTATGTGGCCTACGCATCGCGTGCTGCAGTGCACTGTGTCAACCCAGTACACTTAAAGAGGACATCTGAGCTAGAGTAGAGGCTCGGTCCAGCTGCCTTTCCAGACAGCAGCCACATCTGTAATGTCAGAATTCACGCGTATCACCTCTAGGTATATCTGAGGCCGGGGCTGCCAGATAACGGACTAATACGATCATATAAAAGGGTAAAACTGGTCATTTAATAACCTAGCCAGGGGACACACACTTGAGGGACCAGGGAGCACTTCACCCTAGGGACTATGGTACCTACCTGAAGGTCCAGTATACTCGCTACCCACTTTCTCACATGAATTATCTACAATATTCTTATATTCAGGCATGAATAATGTTACGTTATGTGGCCTATGCAACGCGTGCTGCAGTGCACAGTGTCAACCCAGTACACGTATTGAGGACATGTGAGCTGGAGCAGAGGCTCGGTCCAGCTGTCTTTCCAGACAGCAGTCACATCTGTTATGTCAGAATTCACGCGTATCACCTCTAGGTATATCTGAGGCCGGGGCTGCCAGATAACGGACTAAGACGCTCATATAAAAGGGTAAAACTGGTCATTTAATAATTTATGATTAATTTGTAATGTGCGGTGCACGAATTCAGTCTTTGTCTTTTAGAAAAAAGCTCGAATAGTTTTTTGCCATTAGAAAATACAATAATTTTAAAGCCATTTGAGATTTTTTCCGGCCAACGCAATTGTAAAAAAGACCCAAATTGTCGAATTTGGTCGGCAATAAATCAACTTCATATCATTGAACGATAGAATTCAAATCTTAAAAAATAATATAAGAAATGTTCTGACTGTCCAATTATCTATAACAGCGAAGTCGTCAGTCAGCTGAAGACGAGAGAAACATCCAAATAGGATATGATTCCTAGCTGAGCTCGTGCTTTACGAATGCGAACCAAACATATTACGAATGCGAACCAGCGTGACTGAGCGCATGCACGTTCAGCTTGCAAATGCGCGCATTGAGCTAACGTGAGCTACACTAAAACTATCTAGAGAAAGCACTAGTTGAGGAAGGCAGCCTAGAAAGCACTAGAAGAAGGCCGATAGAGGTGATGAGAGGCAAGGGTTATCTAGAGCTATACAATGTGGACGCGTACGATATACATATACTATTACGCTATAGTACTATACATATACGCTATACATATACTATTGATCCTTTGAGCAGAGATAGGCTACAGTACAGTCAGAAAAATGAATGGGTCATGTAGTCCAAATAGTGACACTTTCTAACCAACTGTACGAGCAACGAGCGGACGTTGAAATGCCCGGTCAAAATGAATCAGAATAACCCGCAATGGGGCGAAAACTGCATCGCTGTTTGGACTAAATTTCTTTCATTTCTCTGAGTGTAGAAAGAGACAATAGAACAAGATTGTTTCAACTATAAAGGCATGGGCCAGTGATTGCGTTCCTTGCATTACTAGTGTCAAAATAAATCACATACAAACTGTATGTGATTTCACATCACAAACGACGTTAAAAAGAAAGAAACTTGCTTCAACGAAGATAATCATGTTCAATATATGTCATGGAGAGAGAAATTGCGATGGCAAAATTACACAATCTCATGGATTTTTTTTTGAAAAATTACTAGAGTAAAGAATATTTTGATTCAAGTTCATTCTAAGCAATTCACCTTCAGAAGTGAATTGAAAATTTTTTAAAGCCTTATGTGAAAATTATCATGATTAATTATCTTTTGTAACATTCATGATCATCACGATGGACGATGTCATTATCGCAAGTGACGATGATATCATCACTTGCGATGTCTTTGTAACATTCATGATAAAAAAACGCCAATAACCTTTGTCTCTAGAATTAACATAGAAATGAAACGCTTATAGAGAAAATAAAAGTTAGCATTCACCGAAAACTTCAACCCTTAGATTAACGGAAGGCTGCACGAGTTAGCATTGCTAGTTGAAAAACGCCACTGCAGAATGGCAACAAGAGAAAGATTACCGAAAATTAAGACATATTCATCACAAAGACTTAATCTTATGAAGCAAAGTTGCCGTATAACGAAAACTTGTACTAACATTTTAGGGATTTCAAAGATTCCACACTGGAGCTTCGTTGTAGGTTTCTTCCATTTAGCATGACGACTAACTTAGTAACTATAAATTAAATAGAAACTGTCAAGAACCAAAAGAAGTCATTTATTTAACAGCAGTCGTTTTCTTAGTTATTCGTAAGATCTTACGATATCAAGAGGGAAATATCAACTTCAACTAATTTTCCATACTTCGCCCCCACCGAAAAAAACAGCTATTATATTATTAGGTCCGAAATTCAAGCAATAAAGTAAAATCTTGCTATTTCACACAAATACATTTGCAGCATAACACGAGTTTACTAGGCAACGATGTTCATCAGTTGCTATACACCACACACATGTCCCCGGCGGGTCTGAGTTGAATTAAAACATTACACTCCTTAAATACGCTCATTGCTAACGCGTTCAGTGAAATAAAACTATTCGTATTGGCGGATCATACGTGGTATTAATGGTTGCTGTAAGTTGGGAACCGCTGCTCTAAATACGATGACATCACGATTACGATTATAGCGGGGAAAATAAATACCTAGATAAAGAAAAATTTTCCTTCGAGACTTCGTCAGTTGCTGCCGTTATCTTACCACCGTCTTCTGATCACACGAAGATTCACTTAGAATATTCGTGGAGGGAAATAATCTATTGATTATTATTATAAATTTTACAGAAGCCCTTAACTATTTCTAAACTTCAGGATTGCAAGAGCTTTTTCCCTCAAATCTCAATTATAAAGAAAGAACAAAGAGTCAAAATATATTCTGCAATTGTTGGTCGCATGTGCGTAATATTGCGTCCGGCTTCGAAGCCTTAAAAGAATTCTAAATATAAGTAAATATATTATAAATCGTCAACTCTACCGCATACGCAAAAAGAAATGTAATACCTATAACCTTATGTTTTTCATAACGGTAACACAATCAATCTATACAACAATACGTAATTATACACATCAGATATCATTTTATATACCAACATTTTAAATTATATTCAAATATACATAAAAACGAGCCAGTAATTTAAATCTTCGCACTTTCTTTTTTTTTACATTATTAGGTTAAAGAATCTAAAATGAATGGGTAAAATTGTCAAAAAAAACACGTTTTCTTACCCATCGCAAGAGCAGAGAGCGGATGTAGCATAGATACGTCCCTTTTGCCGGGCCAAGCTGGGTCACAATGACCCACAGAAGAGCAAAAAGTGCATCGCTATTTAGACAAGATCTCATTTATTTCTCTGAGAGCTGCCTTGAAGAGAAGTGATTACTCTTCGTCTAAAGCAGCGGGCATCCCAACCTCCGAGCACCGCACTGGACTAGACATACATTCACGTAAATAGGAGTGCGCGGACCAGTGTACCTATCCTGCATGGGGGCATTTGTTCTCTAGGGTACCTAAGTGGGACCTCTTGGTTAGGGACTATGGTACCTACCTACCCAGGGGACACACACTTGAGGTACCAGGGTACCTACCCAGGGAGCACTACTCCCTAGGGACTATGGTACCTACCTACCCAGGGGACACACTTGTGGTACCAGGGTACCTACACAGAGAGCACGTCACCCTAGGGACTATGGTACCTACCTAGCCAGGGGACACACACTTGAGGGACCAGGGTACCTACCCAGGGAGCACTTCACCCTAGGGACTATGGTACCTACCTACCCAGGGGACACACACTTGAGGTACCAGGGTACCTACACAGAGAGCACGTCACCCTAGGGACTATGGTACCTACCTAGCCAGGGGACACACACTTCAGGGACCAGGGTACCTACCCAGGGAGCACTTCACCCTAGGGACTATGGTACCTACCTACCCAGGTGACACACACTTGAGGGACCAGGGTACCTACTGAGGGAGCACTTCACCCTAGGGACTATGGTACCTACCTAGCCAGGGGACACACACTTTAGGGACCAGGGTACCTACCCAGGGAGCACATCACCCTAGGGACTATGGTACGTACCTAGCCAGGTGACACACACTTGAGGGACCAGGGTACCTACACAGGGAGCACTACTCCCTAGGGACAATGTTATATACTCAACCTGAGGACATCTATCACCTAGGGACCACAATGTCATTGATTATACAAAGATACGAATCATTTCTACAAGGACAAGTCGATGATATGAATGATATCTGTGATTCCGCTGAAGATTTCCGACAATTAGATACCCGTTTACATTACTAAAGGCATTTAGGAGACGATGCTTAGATGAGCAAGAGTGATGATAATTTAACATCATAATAGCAATTGTAGCGAGACTTTTACAGCAATCAAAACACAACTGATCACATATAAGAGATTCTGAAATTAACAATATGTATTTGAGATTCAACATTGGCACCTAAAAGGCTACAATACTTTGTAAATACATGGAATGAATAGTCTTGGTCTAACCAATTTCACGCACAATACTGAATGCTGTATAAACAATACCTATAAAGCATAGCCCGGTCGCCTGATTGTAAAGAACAACTTCCTTGTCGTCGTTGCGGGTTATTTGGTCAGACGAGAGAGCATTTTGGTCAGACGAGGGCGCATTTTGGCCAGACGAGAGAGCATTTTGGTCAGACGAGGGCGCATTTTGGCCAGACGAGAGCGCATTTTGGTCAGGCGAGGGCGCACTTTGGTCAGGCGAGGGCGCATTTTGGTCAGGCGAGGGCGCATTTTGGTCAGGCGAGGGCGCATTTTGGTCAGGCGAGGGCGCATTTTGGTCAGGCAAGGAAATCAAACTAGCCGTGCTGACCTCACTCTTGTACTGGGTATTAGATGTGGTCTCGGCTGCAATATTCAGTTCTTTCTGTTGAAGAAGATGCGATCGTTTATTAGAAATTGTATGGTTGAAAATTTAAACATGATTGCGGATCATTCACTTGAAGAAATTAAGTTACAATTATAAAGTAAATGACTGATGAATTTGAAACCGATTCAGGTGAAATATTTTAATAATAAACAATTGAACACTTCGACGTAGCCGTGGCTTCATGGTATGAAACTTTCGGAGTAAGATACTACCATTTGCCGTGTATCTAGTACTCAATGAGCATAGTCATTTTTTAAAATTTTGAATTAACACAGATAAGAATGCACAGATAATTTTAAAGACCAATGACTATGAGTATATACAAATTCTACACAAACTGTGACAATAAACAAGTGATTGTATGACATAACACACGAGTGTTCTGGTGGACCAGTCCTGGTTGCCGCTGAGCAGGTGGCACTTGGTGATGGAGGGCGTGTAGTGGTGCGCCTGCAGGCACAGCGAGCCCCCCAACACCCACTCCCCTGCACTGCTACGGTGGAACTCCTGCACGGTCATGAATTGGGGTAATGGGGGGGACTGGAGGGTAATGGTGGGAGACTGGGGCAGTAAGGGGGGACTGCAGGGTGATGGGAGGGACTGTAGGGTGATGGAAGGATAATGAGAGGGAACTAGAGGGTAATGGTGGGAGACTGGGGCAGTCAGGGGGAGGGGAACTGGAGGGTAATGAGGCGGGGCTGGGGGTAATGAGTGAGGATTTGAGGGTAATGAGAGGTTAGTCAGTAGTAGGGCGTCAGGATCAGACTCCGTTATTACGACACACGCCACCATTAGGACCACACGCATTAGCACGTCAAGACCACATTTCATTATGGAGACCAATAGAGTACAAAAACGGGTTTACACAAAACGTGTTCACACAAAACACGTCTACACATAACCTGGTACAAAGAGCCAGGTGCACAGAGCCTGTTACACATAACCCGGTACACAGAGCCCGGTACACAGAGCCTGTTCACCTGTTTCGGGAATTCTTCAACACAAGGCGCCAGCACCAGCAGGGAGCCACGTCTCTGTATGGTCTCCTCAGCCTCGACGCAGAGGCCCGCTGCCTCGCTGCTGCCAAACAGCCGCAGCTGAAACAATTATATTCTTTAATCAATTATCTAATTTTTAGCGCATTTTCTCTTTTATGAAAAAAAGCGTTATTACGCTAGTCATGTCCGTCCGTCTGTGACTTCACGTTCTCGTCGACGAGAAAATGCTCTCTCTGTCACTCACTGCAGTGAGTACTGAGTTATATTTTTATTAAATAGTGGAGTGCCACGCTCTCTAATGATGCAATTCACACTATTAATACAAATTAATTTCAAGTGAGATGACTATGCGATAATAAGTATGTCAGGAATAACCTTCATACGACTTTTGCATTCTGAACAAGATCTGTGTTATGTATGGCATTTAACTCTGAGGATATGAAAGATCAATTGGTTGATATCTAAGGCAACTCGTATAACAGGGCGATATTTTAATGGCTTATATACACTGACACACAAGCTTGAATACCGTGTCTAAAAAAGCGGGAAATACAGCTAAAACGTAGCAACACTGCAATTTCTGCAGGTTCTCGAAATATTGATATTATTTGCTACAGCCTTTCCGCACTGAAACAAACACCTGAATACCATGTCTAAAACAGCGGGTAGTGAAGCTCAAACGTAGCAACACTGCAATTTCTGCAGGTTCTCGAAATATTGATATTATTTGCTACAGCCTTTCCTCACTGAAACAAACACCTGAATACCGTGTCTAAAACAGCGGGTAATGGAGCTCAAACGTAGCAACACTGCAATTTCTGCAGGTTCTCGGAATATATGATATTATTTGCTATAAGAATGGCGAGTCTCACCCGAACTTTGTCAATATTTTTGCGGTGGCTGAACCTCCAGTTGGCGTCGTAGGCGTGCAGGGCGTCCGTGTCGCTGCTGCTGGGGTCTCCTGGTGGAGGGAAGAACATGAAGGCATTCAGGAAAATTGAGATTTTATCCAAATATTGATGCAATTCATGCCAGTGAGTGGGTCATTCTGACCCAGTTTCGCCTGGAAAAAGTACGTATCAGTGGTACACGTAAAAGTATGTCATTATTTGGACAATATTACCAATACATTTTTCCGAGTACATCTTTTCATTCACACTGTGCGCGAGACCATTTAAACTCTTGAAAGTGCAGTAAAACATCTATTAATTCCAGCACATACTCAATGATGAGTAGTAGGTAATAGATTATGATGGAGTACATGAATTGTCGAGCTGAGAGAAATGATCTCTTCTTAGTTTGTGCTCTTGTTCTACCAAAAGATTTATCAGTTTATCTAAAAATTTGAAAAAGGCGAGTTAAATATTTTATTGATTTGCTTTCCATGATGATAACCATAAAAACTTATGCTGTGCAATATTTATGAATTCATCATTGACAATTGAATAGGATATAGGAAATTCTCATATTAATATAAATATTCTACCAAATCTCATATTTATATTATTTCGAAGAATTCCTAATTTTAGCAATTTATTAGTCGCAGAGATTTCTGGATACAAGCTCCTTGGCACTTCTAAGCAGTTATTATCACAGACGATTCAAGATACATCACCTTTTTCATGTATATTCACCCAAACTGACGAAATAAGATTCAAAGATCACAAACATAGTTTTTTTACGCAATAAATTCTAAATTAGCAAAAATTCACAGGTGGTAATTTTGCTACTACCAAAAATCCAAAAACCAAAACCAAATCCAACCTAAAAGAATTACAAGAAATTTCACAGTTTCTCGAATTTTAGAGCTAAAATACTAGTGCTTCCTTTTAGCATCTCATAAATAAACAGTACCAACACTATGTACAACAGTAACGTTATAAAACTAAGCAGCCTAATTAACGTTAATTAACTTAATTAACGTTAATTAACTAAGCAGCCTTAATTAAAGTAAAGGTCGTTTTGAATTATAGGTACGGACGCATATTCTTGATAAACCTACCTTTCTGAGAGAGGCTGGGGTATATATTATCGAGGTACCAAGCAAAGGACTTGCAGTGCAGCCGCTGCCTCAGCGCCTGCCTCTCACTGATGTCGCCATAGTCAACGCTGTAGGCGTTCGGGTGCAGCCGCAGGAAATTGTCCTGTAGTAAAGAGAGAGCTTTATAGTCTACTGGTCAGTAATCTTTGTAAAATTGTTGTTATAAAGAAAACAATGACATCTTTTAACCTAGATGATTCGGAATAAATAATATGATGATAAAGAAATGTTCCTGAGCGACTTCATCGAATTCAAAATAGTACTTTTTCTAAAACGACAGCAAATTATTAGAATTATGATTGTTTATTTATCAGTAATTATAAGGACCCGAAAGCAAATTAGTAGAATTATAAATGTTCATCTATCAGTAATTATAAGAACACGTAGCAAATAAGTAGAATTATGAATGTATTCATATCAGTACCTATAAGAACACTTAAGCAATTAGTAGAATTATGAATGTATTCATATCAGTACCTATAAAAACACGTAGCAAATAGTAGAATTATGAATGTATTCATATCAGTACCTATAAGAAAACGTAGATAATTAGTAGAATTATGATTGTTTATCTATAAGTAACTACGCAAAGAAACCTTATAGTCATCCATCCAGACATGCGCTAGTCTGAGGGAGTTGTGCAACATAGTGTCGCTGTCGCCGTCGCCATATGGACGTCGCTGGCGGAACACATGGCCTACCCTGGAGCACGGCACCAGCCATAAGCTCCCTCCGCACTGCCATAACTGAAAATAACGGAAGAAATAAATAAAATTATTGAAATAATATTGACATAAACTATTTAAAAACGATGCCTGAATTATTTAGAGTTACAGAAGTGAATGTATGTACTTGTACTTGTCAAAACTAAATGCCTAGCTATTAAGACAGCAAACAATACCTAAATTCTCAATAAATTAAATAGAATTTCTTCACACATTCAACACTGAATTGCAAGTTTAATGATAAGACTCACCCTGAAGGAGTCAGTAAATTAAATTGAATTTCTTCGCACATTCAACATTTAATTAACCTGAATTGCAAGTTTAATGATAAGACTCACCCTTAAGGAGTCAGTAAATTGAATAGAATTTCTTCACACACTCAACACTGAATTGGAATTGCAAGTTTAATGATAAGACTAAGCAAACAATACCTAAATTCTCAATAAATTAAATAGAATTTCTTCACATATTCAACACTGAATTACAAGGTTGATGATAAGACTCACCCTGAAGTACCGGTAGTCAGTAAATTAAATTGAATTTCTTCACACATTCAACACTGAATTGCAAGTTTAATGATAAGACTCACCCTGAAGGAGTCAGTAAATTAAATAGAATTTCTTCACACACTCAACACTGAATTGGAATTGCAAGTTTAATGATAAGACTCACCCTGAAGGAGTCAGTAAATTAAATTGAATTACTCCCCACATTCAACCCTGAATTGCAAAGTTAATGATAAGACTCACTCTGAAGGAGTCAGTAAATTAAATTGAATTACTGCACACATTCAACATTGAATTACTCTGAATTGCAAGTTTAATGATAAGACTCACCCTGAAGGAGAGCTCGAGGTTCTCCCCGCCCCAGACCTCCATGCCGGTGTCGTACTCGCCGAGCTCCGTGAAGTAGACGCGGCTGATGGCGAACAGCCCTCCGGCCATCGTCGGGGACCTGCACACACAGGTGACGTGTACTAGTGATGGTGACGAGGTGACATGTACTAGTGAGTGACGAGGTGACATGTACTAGTGAGTGACGAGGTGACATGTACTAGTGATGGTGACGAGGTGATGTGTACTAGTGATGGTGACGTGTACTAGTGGTGGTGACGAGGTGACGTGTACTAGTGACGGTGACGTGTACTAGTGCTGTCTCTTATACACATCTAGATGTGTATAAGAGACAGCATTCACACTGTGCAGATTTTGACGCAGCGGTTTTTGACACACATCCTAGTCTGGTAC